AACCCCTCCAACACCACCCAGTCCAACACCAACCCAACGCCAACCCCCAAGCATTGCCCAGCCCAATGTCACCCAGTCCAATGTCACCCAGCCCAATGTCAACACCCCCAAACATCACCCAGTCCAACACCAACCCTATCAATGCCACCCAGTCTGACACCAACGCCCCAACGTTCCCCAGTCCAATGTCGCCCAGTCCAACACCAACCCAACGCCAACCCCCCCATCGCCCATCACCAATCCAACACCAAGCCTCCAGCATCCCCTGTTCCAACACCAACCCAAAACCAACCCCCAACATCATCCAGTCCAATGCTGCCCACTCCAACACCAACCTCCCAACATCTCCCAGGCCAACACCAAACCCCACCCAACACCACCCAGTTCAACACCAACCCAATGCCAACTCCCCCAACACCACCCAGCCCAACGCCAACCCAGTGCCAGCCCCCCCATTGTCGCCCAGTCCAACACCACCCCCCCCGAACATCACCCAGTCCAACGCCAACCCCCAAGCATTGCCCAGCCCAATGTCACCCAGTCCAACACCAACCCAACACCAACCCCCAACATCATCCAGTCCAATGCTGCCCACTCCAACACCAACCTCCCAACATCTCCCAGCCCAACACCAAACCCCACCCAACACCACCCAGTTCAACACCAACCCTACCAATGCCACCCAGTCTGACACCAACACCCCAGCGTTCCCCAGTCCAATGTCACCCAGTCCAACGCCAACCCAACGCCAGCCCCCCAACGTCACCCAGTCCAACACCAAGACCCCTCCCCAATATTGCCCTGTCCAACACCCAACCCCATCCCCACACCAACCCAATCACGTCCCTCAGTGCCACACCTAAACCAAGATCCACCAAAGTCTACGTTAAAAGCTCCGTGCAGCCCCTAAATGAGGACGACCCCCATGAGGGGGTCACCGTTACAAGAAGTGGGCAGGAGTTCAGAGGGTGCACAAATAAGGGGCAGCGGTCCCTTCTGCCACTGAACTGAACGCCATAAAATCAAAGAGAACCACAGGAGCTCAAAGCCAGACTGGGGTCTGAACATCACCGGTTTACAGCCAGAACCAGTCCTGCCCCCCAGCTCAGGCTGCCCATTGCCCCCTTTTCCCTTCCACATCCTCAGGGCCGGTGCTCCCACAGCCCTACGCAGCACAGCCCCGGCCCCGCTGCCCCATTTGTCCCATACCTGGATCTCCTCCCGGCTCAGGTGCGTGGTACACAGCTCAGCATCGCCCGGTCGCTCCCAGCTGCCCTCAAAGCTCTGCAGGCTCAGGTAAAACTCAGAGCCGTCCCGCAGGCGGTGCCGCACCCAGAGGGGTTTGGTGCTCCCTGAAACCAGATGTGGTACCCAGGGCTGAGCATCCTCCCTGCAAGGGGGTTTGGGGGGGGAGGGGGTCCCATCCCCAGGCTGTACCCGTCGGCCTCTTGGTGGCTGCCAGTGCCTGCAGCTGCTCCTGGTACCCTGCAGCACAGGCGTCCTGCACGCCGCGCAGCCCCACGTCGGGGTTCCGCAGCACCCGCAGCGTCTGCGCCGCCCGCCCTTCCCTGATGGCCTGGTTGATGGCAGCCGTGCCCAGGGCCACTGCAGGAATAGGGGTGGGGAGATGAGGGGCTCAGAGAGAGGGAGTGTGGGGTGGAGAGATGGGGGGATGGGGGGGGGACAG